ATATATATATATATATATATATATATTAAAATAAATAAATAATCCAATTGATCTATTAAAGTACTAAACATACGATATGTAGTAGACAACGTGCACGATAATCAATCATTGCCATAAGATCAGTAAGGCCAAAGCATATGCTCTGAGGGCTAAGGTTTTTCACACGTCAAGATGCATCGCAAGTGCCAGTAATTGTATTGAGTTAGTGATAAGTGGGAGCCTATATTTTATTCCTAGAAAATGTTGAGAAAACGGCGGAAGATTGTGAGCAAACCCATCGTGTTTTTCATTAAAACAATCAATAACAATTATTATGAACCTAAATTTATCAACGTTAATTTATTGTCAGACAATGTAGTTAACAGAACAATTATTCGGTGTGTTAATTACGTATTAAAGAAAAAATCAAAGGCAATGGTTGTTTTTATTTTTTATAATTATTATAACATTCTTTGTTCTCAATTGTATGTATGGAGACGAACCAGGCATTTTTCCGCGGCTTAGTCTCGCTCACCTTGTCGACACTCGCGTTATCTTTTGTGTATCTCGCAAATATGAATTGCCATGTAGAACATGAAGTCCTTTCACTGCGAGGGTACAGGGTCGCCTCTGACACAGCTGCAGACGGGTAGGTACCCCACTCCAACCCCATCATCACATCACCGAAACAAAGTGCCCAAAAACGGTCGTTTTTCAGAAACTTAACAGCCGATCTGACGAGTCATTTACCGATCCATTCCGCCTCGCCACCCACTTGCAATAGTGACGCGAGAAAGAGAAGAATCGCGCGTCTCACGCCAATTTCACGGACCCCTAATGCTTGCGAAACTTCAACCGGCACGTTCGCGAGGGCCTACTGCAGAGAAAGGGAATTCCCAGAATCCTTGCTCTCCAATCAGGATCAAGAGCATACCGAAACATCTAGAAACAGATTTCTCTCGGGAATCTCGACAAATGAGAATACGAGATCCGAGCAAGAAGTTGCCTTCCAACTTTTCGGTAACGAAACTGCTCGAAAACCCCCGCGAGTACTTTTGCGCGGAAGCTCTCGGGAAGCGAGCGCCCCGACGCGAAGAGGCCACGGGGAGGCGGAGGCGTGGAGAGATCGCGGGGAGAGGAACTCGCCGACAGGCAACACTCTCCGTGCTGGATTCTCGGATTGACACGACAATTTACCAGCTTCTTCAGCTCATTTCAAATCCCTTACTTACCAATTTTTAAGCGCTAGGAAGCATTGCAAGAAGTGTTTTTGTGACAATTAGTATTAAGGCCATTCGTGATCTTTCTGCTTGTAGAAGCCGCGCCCCTCTGCCCTGCAGCCGTTCGTAACTTTTGAGCCGCGCGCCACATCAGCCTACGAGTCGCCCGGGCGCTAATTGACTTGGAGGCCAAGCAGCGTAAGGTGACAAATACGGGTGTGTACTGGATTCAGACAGACAAGAAAGTCGAGCACATCTAAATACAATTATTGCAAAGAAATGGGTCCCTGAAAATATTACCTCGATATACGAAAAATAAATTCATAAATAAATAAATACATTTTATTTTTCCGTTTGAAACTAAATTTTCACAATAAATAAAAATCTGATTAAAATGTCAAAACACTGAGTGTAAAGTAAATTTTATAATGCATCGAATGTAAGTATCTTTTTGAGTTTTCTTAAAAATAGCTCTGCAGTAAGGTACCTTAACAACTGACTTCGGTAGAATTATTAAGAACGCATGTCACTTTGCATTTCATACTGAAAAGAGACCAAAGAATATGGGTCTTTGCCATCAGTTGGTAGGCATTTTCCACTGTTGACAAATTTAGATATTCAACAATTTAAGAAACTAATTCCAAAGTACTGCTTATATTCGACTGTGGCCAGCTGTGTACTTTCAGCAGGACAACGCGTCCATCCACACAGCGCATATTGTGAAGTTATGGTTGTTATATAATGTACCAAAGCGTCTTGAAATACCGCCACAATATACCTGATTTTAATCCTATTGAGAAGCTTTGGTGGGAATTGGAAAACCTTGAGCAGAAATATATATTTTCGAATAAAGAAGAGCTCGAGAGGGTCCTCGCTGAAGAATGGAAGAACATCGGGCCTAAATTCACAAGGAAGGTTTTACGATCAATGCCAGCAATAAAATATACTTTATAAGTATTGCTCGAGTGAACGGACCAAACTGGCATCATTTTTTCTGCGTCAGTCGAGGCGAATTGCGGAAGAGGCTGCAAGGATACACGTGTTAGAAGTAATTTACTACGTATGAGAGAAGAACTGATCACGTTTTCGGTATCAGTGTAATTTCATTGACGATTTTTTACTACTGAAAAATCGCCGTTTATCGCCGCAGAATGACATAATTTTCCCTATACTACGTATGTGGTATATGCGAAAATAAAAGGAATTGCCACAACCACAGATTTTTTCGTATCATTGACAACGATATGACAACGGTCTATTATACAAAAGCGTAAATATACATGTTTATATGTGCCCCAAAAACATCCGTTGGGGAAATATTTGCTAACAAATTTTGTACGAATCCTTTTTAGCGGCTAAGAATGACAAATAGTGTAGACCCGCGCGGGCCACGGCACACATGCACACCCCTACCACAGTTGTTGAGAGACCAGTCGGAGGTTTAGAGCCTGTTCCGACTGGGGCGGTGCCACGTCGATAGGAGATACCTGATTGCGTAAAATCCCCGCAAACGGACGACCATAGGTCAGTGACAAACCTCGCCAGACAGCGGGGGAAGATTACCGCCACCTCCCACCATAAGAAATCATGCACTACACTTACGAGTCTAATGACCTTAGCAGTTATTGCGCCTAGAAATCACTAATCAATCAGAGTGAAAATTACGAAATATTGTAGTTGTAAAATTTCCAACATTAGGGGTAACTTCTCCTGAGTTAAAATTTTAAAAAAATTGTAGGAAATATTTAAAAACAATTATGGGTAAATTAATCAGAACGAGAATTTCAAGATAATGTAGGGAATACTTTTCAATATCAAAAGTAACTTCTTCACAGTGATAATTACAAAATATTGTAGAGAT